GGGCTACTCAGGTCCCCTCGAGGGGGAGCATAGTTGTTGCGCAGGTAGGCTCCGGGCTCGAAGCGCTGGTAGGCCGAGGCGACCGCAGCCCGGCCGGGATCCCAGTCGGTACCTGCTGTGTGACTCCGGTCTGCTTGGCTCATACTGCTGGTTTGAATTACCCAAAGTTTGAATTATGCCCCTTTCCCCAGTCCCCACTGCCCGCCTTGTCCCCCGTTAGTCTGGCGGCCCCTTTATCTACCCCCGGACCCCCGCCCGACCCCTCCACTGCGGGGGCGGGGGCTGAGCGATGAGCCGCCCCGGGCCATGCGCGCCCGGTGGTGGCCACCCCATCCATCTCAGTTAGTGTCGAAGCAGCAGACACGCCGGTGGTGTGGGGGCGACCGCTGGAACATCAGTTCCTGCCCCACCCTTGCTCCACACTTGTTCCCGCAGCCCTGCACCCTTGCCTCACCTGCCCCGGTCCCAATCCTGCACCCTACCTCGACTCCCGAGCCCCTATCCCACAGCCGCGTCTCCTCTCTTCATCAGCTCCAGCTCCCTGCAGCCATTCACCCCTTTGCCTGGCATTCCATCCCTTTTTTCTTTTTCTTTCTTTCTTTCTTTTTTTCTTTTTTTTTTTTTTTTGGTACTGGGGATTGAACCCAAGGCCTTGTACAGGTGGGTCAAGCACTCTGCCAACTGAGCTACATCCCCAGTCCCCATCCCTTTTTTCTAAGGTTTGGAATTGCTCCTGCCCCCAGTCCCCACCTCTAGGAAGGTCCCAGACTCCTACCTGGCTCCCCTTCCTCTAGGACACCCCTTCTAACCCCCACCCTTTCCTTATTAATGTCACCCTGACTCCCATCCCTCCTCCAGGCCACTATCCCATCTCTGTTCTCCAGTGCCCCTCCCCACCTCTAGAAAGGACTGTCCGTTCCAGTCTCTGCCTCGGTTGCCCGGGGCCCCAGAGTCAGGTTCTGCCCTTCCCGTCCGATCGCAGCAGCGATAGGGGAAGCGAGCGGGGATAATGAACTTAGCAGGCGAAATAATAGGCCCCAGGGATCCGAGCTCCTTATCTGGGGGCTAAGGACAAAAGGTTCGGGATGTTCGCGCTGCTTCCCGGGACAGGGAACACAGGTCAGTGCAGTGACACGTGGAGCATTCTTCGAGCCACCTGGCCACTAGGGGGCGCAGTCCACGTATTCAGTTTCCTGTGGGTCTGGGGTCTTGGACCCCTCTTCCAGCCCATACTCTAGCTCCTTCTGGGACGCTGGCCAAGCCAGGCCTGCAAGTCTTACTTGGTGCTCCAGGTATCCAGCCCGCAAGATGCTACAGTCTTCCCTCCTACCCCCCAAGTGGGAAGCCAATTCCGCTCTCTGCATGTGCATGGTCTTTCTGAAACTGGACTTCTCTGGATCAGAAAGGTGCACCTCTACCCAGGGTAGGCTAGTGGTCTCTGCCAAGATCAGCCTCTGGCCTCCCTTGATCTAGGCCTCCTCTGGGCTCTCTTCTTGTCCCAAGGGGGAAAGTCTCCTTGTTGGGTCAGACAGCTAGGTTGGGATATGAGTCATCATGACAGCTGCAGGGGTCATAGACAGGAACCTGACCCCTGTAACCCCTCCCATAAAACCCACTCAGGTCAGGGAGGGTGGCACACCTGACCCCAGGCAGGATTGATTCTGTCTGGATTTGCAGCTGAGTGGCCTTGAGGTCACTGACCCCATCCACACTCTGAGGCACAGCCAAGGACAGTCCTGGTGCTAGCCTCCTCCATGTTCGCCACGAGATATCATTTAAACAAACCCTGATGCCAGCTGGCATGCTGGGCACTGCCCAGTGCCAGGGACTGAATTCGGAAGCCAGGACTGGGCAGTGGAGTTAGGGCACAGGAAGGGGACTGGACAGACGGCAACTCTGTTTACAGTTCTGCCCTGCACCCCACCCCCAAGCATGGGGTGTACCCACAGGCTTTACCATATTTAGTTCAGAGGTACAGCCTGGTCCCAGAAGTGCTGGGGGCATGAGGGGGGACATCGATGGACTGGCCCCCACAACCACAGGAAAGAGATGAGACTGGAACATGGTTGAGCATTTATTGCAGCGCTAACAGAGGGTGCTGGGGGCCCCGCCCTGCCTCTGCCCTCTTCACGTTCCCCTCCCTCCAGTCTTCTCCGTCTCCATCCCAGAGCATTCCGCTCACACTTGTCCTAGTCCTCCTCCAAAGCTGAAACCTGGACCCGGGTCACTGCTCCCAGGGACCTCTTGCCTTCACCAGCATCCCTTATCCCTTTTCCTGGTGCTGAGGGTGCTAGACTGTGCTGGCGCCCAGCTCTCCAACCTTAGTGCCCACTGTCTTTGCTCCCCTCCCTTTGGGAACTCAGGGGACCCAGGCATCCAGGCCTCTGGCTCCCTCTTCCCATAGCCCCCAACTCTGGGCAAACTACAAAGCATCCATGGCCAGCAGCTCCCCTCCACGGTCCTAGCCAGGAAGGGGCCAGCCCAGGGTAGGCACAGTGGAGTCTGAGTCACAGTCCCTCTCAGCCTCTCTGTGCTTCCTGGGACATGGAGCGGGACAGGGTACGACGAAGGGTCCCAGGCTTGCTGACGGGCACCACAGGGGGCAGCTGCTTGGTGATCTCGGCCACATCCTGGCGCTCCAGGCACTGGCCACCCAGGGCCGTCTCCAGTGCCAGCAGCTCCCGCAGCTGCACGGGAGTTTCCTCGCGCTCCTCCTTGGCAGCCCCCACCTTGGTGGGTGTGAAGATAGGCAGGGGTAGCACCCGCTGGTAGGGCAGCTGGTACTCTTGCAGCCCGCGGCCCAGGATGCCCATACGCATCACCAGCCAGGGGGAGCGCTGTACCAGCGCCTGGCACTGCCCCTGCCGATGGTAGGTCTCATGCCGCTGCGTATCCTCCTCATGCAGGGAACAACTGGAAGCAGAGGGGAGGGGCAGTGAGCTCCTGCAAGCTGCTGTGTAGGGGGCTCCCTGGGGCTGCCAGGACCAGGGGGCAGGAGGGGGGATTCCACTCTGCTCTTCCCAGTAGGCACTCTTCTTGCCCCACCCCCAGAAATTTCAGGGGTTTGTGCTCTGGCCTCATAGGACTTGGGGAGGAGGCTTTGGGACACAGAGGCAGGACTCCCAGCGGACCCACACTCACCCCTCCTCGGGCCGTGTGGACAGAGTCAGATCCTTCCACTCAGCCCAGAAGGCCTCTCGGCACTCGCGGTTCTCCTCGGACACCTGGCAGCACAGCTCTGAAGTGGCCATGATCACTTCTTGCTCCCTATGCTCTGCTCCGCACCTCCCACGTCCTTTAAATAGTCTCCTTCTCCCCTTCTCTGGGGGCTATTTTTGGCCCCTCTGGCGTCAGATGCTATAAGCAGAGCCAAGGCTCACTGGTGGGGGGGGGGGGCTCTGAGTCTAGGACAGGGGTTGGGGCTTTTGGACTCTGGCTGCCCCCAGGTCAGAGGTTAGTTTCTGAAGGGAACAAAGTGCTCTGGTGGGCACAGGGGTCTTCAGATCAGCACCGCCAAGCATCTGACACTCTGCAGACACTGTCTCAGACCAGGCACATGCCCAGCCTCGTGCTACCTTGGCATTGCCCTCTGCCCCGCCTGTTCCCCTTGCCCAGGGAGGACAGCACTTGTCTGTAAACAGAGCAGGAGAGAGCAGGGACTGATGCCCCTCGCTCTGTTCCAAGACTGCCAGGTCCCCCCCACCCCCACTTTCTCCTCTCCTGGGCTCAAGGGCACATCCTCAGCTGGGCCCCCTGGACCGGGAGGGACAGTGCACCAAAGTTCTGGTTCCCAACCACCATATATTATCAGCAAGGGGAATGGATGCCACCCCCACACCTGGAGTCCTGCAGCATGGACCTCTGTCTGGGTTTTCCTTCCTTGTGGTCAGTGGTCTCTCTAAGCAGATCCAGTCAGGGTGGAGGGGGCATGTGGCCCTCGATTCTACCTCTGACACCCATGCAAGGAGGAATGGGGTGAAGTGGGAACACAGGGGTTCTGAGGAGGAGCAGTCAGAAGACCTGGCTCCAGTCCCAAGTCAGTCATAAACAGGCTATGTGACTATGGCCCAGTCCCTGTCCCCTCTGGGCCTCACTTTCCCTGTTTTCTGGCTATAACAGGATGGCCAGAAGAGCTCTGGGTGTGGGACCAGCAGTCATTCGTGGGGAGAAAGGTAAATCTGCTGCCCAGCACCCCAGGGAGCAACTCATGGTACAAGAAGCTGGTGTCCAGGGCATGGAGGCATGAGAAACAAGGGAATCACAGAGCGGAGCAAGCAAAGGCCCTGGAAGAGGTAGTGACAGGAGTTGAGGATGGCCAGTGGAGATAGCAGAGCTCCCAGCTGGGCTGGTCACAGACCTGCATGCTGACTGCTGAGGCACTACACCGATTCTGCACATCTAATCTCCCGATCCTGATGCTGCTTCCATTACTATCAAGTGGGAAATGGAGGCTCAGAGGTAGATTTGCCCAGGGTCACACACCTGTTCCTGGGACCAAGATAGGATCACCTGACTCAGAACAAAATGAACCATTCAGAGGACAGCAGGAGTCAGGTGGGGAGGAGGCCAGGAGGAGGGTAAGGCCCAGCTCCAAGCTGCCCTAGTGTGTGTTTGGAGGAGAGTGGAACCCAAGGGTCCCAGGGTCCTGGGATCCCAGAGGTGCCTCAGGGACCCTGAAGCCCAGGGCCCACCTAAAGGACCCCCTGGACTCCAGACCCAGGACAATCAAGACCTGCTATGACGCTGATGGTGGCTCTTCCACCTCCAACCCTGGCCCAGGGGACACTGCTCTCCTACAACATACCAGCTGGGCTGAACCAGCCAGGGCTTGCTCCTCCTGGGTGAGCTCATAACGGGTGGCCTTGCTGTATGCTAGTGACCCACTCCTTCCCCATCCAAGGGCTGCTCTTTGATGTACTCATGAGTGAGGAGACCCAGGCCCAGGACAAGGCAGCAGAAGCAGAAAGGGCTTTTTTTTTTTTTTTCATTCATGTGTTTAATTGGCTCAAATTACAAAGGTCCCCAAGGAGGTCTGGGGAGAGAGGGACAACCTGGGAGAGGCAGAAATTCACTACCAGCACCCACCGCCCCCTCACTTGCCCCCACTCCTCCACAGGTGCATATGGAAAAAGGTCCCAGACCCTTTAAATAACTCTAAAAAACCTTGATAACAAAGGAGGCAGACGAAGGCTCCTTCACCTTAACACTGGTGACAGGCTGCTCTGCCTTGCTCTGTCTTGCCCAGGGCGCTGGCCCTCTGAAACCAAGTCTGAGCTTCCATCCCAGCTCTCCCCTGACAAAGTCCGGGATGGCAACTTCTCCAGAGGGCAGGGATGTCATGTAAACATCAGCAGGACAGACCCCACTTCTTCAGCCAGCAGCCCCCAGAGTCCACATGCTCCACCCCACACCTGCTCAGGACCGTGGTTCCAGACAGTGCGGCTCAGGGCAGGGAAGTAGCTTGGGACCAAAGTGCTACCCACTGCTTGGGGCCAGGTTCTCTGTGGGCCATGGAAAGCCCAACCAGCCCCTCTTTCTAGCTCTGGAGGCTGTGGCGGCAGTACCCCGACCTGCAGGGTAGCAAAAGGGCATGTTCACACCCGGGCCCCCAACTCTCCAATGCGCTGCCGCAGGTGAAAGGCAAATTCAAACATGGTGGCTGCGAGGCTCTGGTGGATGAGGTACCGGGGCAGGCGACCCTGGGGGAGGCAGGAAGAAGTCACACCATGGCTCATCCTTAGCAGGGCCTCCCCCTCAAGCTGGCACCGGGAGGAGTGCTCTGGCCAGAATGCAGGTGGGGCTCTGGGATCCTGCCTGGGCCCTGCTCCCCGCACTCCTGGTGGGAAGAACATGCTGTGCCTGGGGCTTGGCAGCAGCCACACAAACAGAGCTGGTGGGTCTGGGCTGGCAGCCAGCCACCCCACTTCAGGGCCTCAGGATCAGAGGTAAGATGGGGAAGGCCCATGTCCTCCTGCAACTCGTGGCTAGAACACCATCTGGACCCTGCCCTAATCCTCAAGTCACAAAGTGGGCTGAGTAGGGGCCCCTGAGCAAGGCAGAGAGCCCTCAAGGTCACTCAGCAACCAAGCCAGGAGCAGTGTCCCCTCCACCCCACAGGCCTGACTCATAGCCCCGGGTGCCCACCTTGAGATCTGTGTTAAGAATCCAGACAAAAGTGCAGACTCGAGGGTTGCTGGCTGATTTGAGCACGACAAAGCCCCCAGGACCATTCTCTCCCCTGAGGACAGAGTTATCACTGAGGGAGGGGCACACGGGAGCCAGCAAGGCCCCTGCCCACCCCACTGTCTGCTCCAGGCCCAGCTTGCATTGGGATGGAAGAGGGAGTGCAGATGCTGGTCCAAGAACTGCACCCTGTCTCAGCAGGCTCACACCTGGTGTCCAGAAGCTGGGGTATCAGCCGTCAGTGCCACCCACTTGGTGTTGCTCCTCCAACAGTTGCTGGTGCTTGTGCACCCCAATGGCAGAGAGTTCGCTATCTTTTCAGCCCTCACCAGCTCTGCCCAGGGATGTGAGTGAGGTCAGCTCTGGCTGTGAAAGGGTGCCTGCCACTCCTCACCCCTGCCCAACTCAGGGAGCACGTGTGCCGTCAGCCTCCAGAAGAGGGCGCCTTCCCAGGAGGCCATCAGGGCTGGGACCCAGTTCACCTCTGATGGCCTTTCATTCTCCCTCCGGCCACTGAGCACGCTTAGGCCCACTCCAGAGATAAGGAAGTTGGCACCCAGAGTGGAAACAAGCTTGCCCTTCACCCAGCAAGTCCCTCGCAGGGCCGAGAGCCCCAATCTCACATTCTAAGAAGAGCATTCTGCGGGGAAGCGTGAGACCCACAGGAGGCCCGCGGCTTTGCAGTCGGGGTTAGAGGGTGGGGAGAAGCAGAAGGAAGCCTGGGACAGGCACAGGAAGACCCCACTCCTCTTACTCTGAGGGGACTCCTGCGCGGTCCAAGAGAACGGTGAGGCTAAGGGGATGGGGGAGGAGGAGGAGGAAAGGGACCCTCGGGGGACCCGAGTCTCCTGAGGCAGGAAGATGAAGCCCAGAAGCCAGATCCAGAGCAACCCCATGGCTCCCAGCCCTGCTTCCTGGACTAGTTCCCACCCTGATCTATCCCAGCCAGCTGCCCACCGCACATGTCCCTCCAGCCTGGTGGCCTGGTTCCAGTCAGCAAGATTAACAGGATTAGGGGCTGGGAGGGGCAAGGCCTGGCGGGACAGGGAGCAGGAACACGACCTCAGCAGGAGAATGTGCCCAGCTGCACACACTGTACCCTGTGCTGCTCACTGCTTCCAGGAGAGGGGCTGCGGCATGATCCCAGGCAAGGCCCCGGCTCACCTGACATATTTGTGCGTTGGAGGCTTGGCACAGTGTGTGGTGGCAATTCCTGATGAGAGGTACCGGTCTCTGCGCCGCTCTATGCGCCGGACATTCACAAAGTCCCTGGGGGAGGGAAGGTTAGAACTGGGGGCACAGAGCTCAAGGAGAGCTGGGCATGGTGGCACACACCTGCAATACCAGAAACTAGGGAGGCTGAGGCAGGAGGATCGCAAGTTCAAAGCCAGCCTCAGCAAAAAGCGAGGCACTAAGCAACTCAGTGAGACCCTGTCTCTAAATAAAATACAAAATAGGACTGGGGATGTGGGTCAGTAGTCGAGTGCCCTGAGTTCAATGTCCAGTACAAAAAACAAAAAACAAAACAGAGCCCAAGGAGGCCTGACTGTGAGAAGAGGGTGTGGGGATACTCACCTGGGAGAGACCACACCGCCTGCAGCCCCTGCAGACACGTCGTAGGAAACAAGGGTGTTGTCTTCCACCCGCTGCAGGATCTGAGGGCCCATCAGGGGGACATGAGGTATAGCCCACGCCAGGAAAGCCCCAGGGACAGTCCACATGTCAGGAACCTCCTAAACCAGCCTCCTCCCTGCCTGGGACCCAGGACTAAAAGCCATCACCCTTTGTGGGCCCTGGGCTGGGCACTCCACAAGCATACTCCTGCTTCCCACCTCCTGCCCTGGCCCAGGAGGCACTAAGACCATCACCGCATTTTACAGAGGGGGAAGCCACATCCCCTTGTTGTTACTGGTCACTCTAGGATATGGCTGGGCCCTGACACATGTGGGGAGGCAGGGCTGACCTGGCAGGCAGTCACTGTCTTGTTCCACAGCACCATCCTCTCGGGCTGCAGAATCACCTCTTGGTACACCAGCTCCGCAGGACAGGGCAGGAAGGTCTGGGCAGGACAGGTGGAGGCAGGTGGTGTCAGAGGGGCTCGGGCACACCAGCCCTTCCCTGTGGTGGGGGTGCTGCAGGGGGGTCCCTCAGCCCCTTCCTAAAGCCCCAGATGGAACAGGAGGCTCCAGGATCCTCCTCCCTTCACTCACCTTCAGGATGAAGGTCTTGCCATGAAAGGGAACCTCGATGGTGTACACAGTGTCCCCATACTCCTGTGGCAGGGACAGAAGGGTGATAGGGAGGAGCATGGGGTGGGTTGTGGCATGAATGAGTGACAGGCAGGACAGGTTTTCACCAGGATTTGGGGGCTATCTGAGCAGCCATTAAAAAATGGTGGTTCTGGGCCAGGGCTGTGGCTCAGTGGTAGAGCGCTTGCCTGGCATGTGTGAGGCACTGGGTTCAATTCTCAGCACCACATAAAAATAAATAAAATAAAATAAAGGTTCATCAACAACTAAAAAAAAAAAAAAATTTAAATGGTGGTTCTGAGGAAAGCTTCTGATCTTAAGTTGAAGGACAGGAGTCCAGCTACAGCTGTGACCATGAAGAACCACATCTCTAAGCCAACAAGGGCTGCCATAGGGACTGGCTAGAGAGAGAGGGACTGGGGCGTGTTTCCCTGTTTTCTAAGCTCTCTGCAATCTTTGTAGATAATATTGTTTTGATCATGAAACAAAACACCGGACACAGGGCAGAGCCTGGCTTCCCCTTCAAAGTGGGAGCCGAGGGCTCAGAGCAGCAGGGAATGAGGACTGAGCTCCCACATGTGGGAGACAGGAAGTGTCAGATCCAGCCTGGGCCCCCTCTCGGGGCAGGAATAGGACTCCAACCCATGCAACCCTCAAATATATGCCTCGGGCCTCAGGAAAGGAGTGAAAACTCTAACACACACAGGAGGGGCAGGTAGCAAAGGGGCTTCTTACATTATTCTTCTCAAACTTCCAGTTCTCCTCCTGGGCCAGGATCTGGTCCACCACGGCAGTGGCCTCCTTCCCCTGGCGGAGGTACTCTCGCTCCTGGTCAGGAGTGAGAGGCAGGAAGGGGTCAGATGGGGGCCTGATCCAGTTAGACATGGGGTCTGGGCTGCTCTCCCAGGGGTCTTGGGGGCTTCCTGAGGCCTGTGGCTGTGCCAGCTCCTCCTGGGTCCCCAGGCATGGGGCACACCAAGGGGCTTGTCTGGCCCAAGGAGCAGTCCTGAGGTCCACCCTGGCTGAGGCCAGCGCTGGCCCTTTCAGGTGCACACTCTGAGGAGGCTCAGGGTAGGCAGCCAAATACCTGGGCAGAGAAACTTTTCTTCCCAGTGACTTCCTCATCTGATTCATTGTCAGACCCTGTGGAAAACAAGCAGAGATGACAATGGCAGGGGGTGGGGAGTGTGGGAGGGGGTAGGGCTCAGGGACTTGAAGTGCAGGGATGTGGGGGAGAGGTTGTTGGCTTTCCCCAGGGAGCCTGAGGGAAGAACAGAAAGAACAGGCCCAGCCCACCCTTGCCTCACACAGCCCCTCCCTTTCAGCTCCCCACCCACCAGCCCTCACCTGCAAAGGATTCTGGGGGTGAGTAGAACTGGCCCTCAGACAGAGCGCCAGAGAACAGCAGGGGTCCACGTGCAACAGCAGCCTGGGCAGCAAGATACCCTGGGGGAGCAGACATGGGCAGCCATCATCCCAGACCAAGGACAATCATGCAGAAGTAGCCTGGGGTCCCCTTTCCCCACCCCAGGCTCTAGAGCTGCTCCTAGGAGGCAAATGGCTCAGAACTCACTCTCATTTCTGAAACTCTCCTCCCTTAGGGCTGGGCTTACCCTCACTGCCCTCACTCTGTCCCCCAGGACTCACATCGCTCCTCCTCAGCCTCCTGGGGTAGAACTTTGAAGTCAAGGAACCAGGTCTCCAACCAGGCAAGGACAAAGGAGACGATGGGAAGCAGGTAGCCAAACGCACCTTTGCTGAGCAGCTAAGGTGGAAGGAGGGGGCTGAGTTCCACAGCGGCGGGGGTCACCTCAAACCCAGAGCCCCTTCCTGGAGCCACCAACTCTGGTATCATACACCCCATTCCCGGCACCATATGCTTAGATACCCTCTGTAGCACATGCCTCTGAGATGGATTAATTGAGTCTGCAGCAGGACATACCAGGGTTAGGCTGTAGGAAGAACTTTGGTTTCTGGGGTGGGGGGATAAGTGCAGGAAGCAGAGGATGATTCCTTGGAAATATCAAAAGACAGGAGTCCCCCTCATTCCAACCCTGACAACAGAGGCAGACACCCAAAGCCAAAGAAAGGGCCCTTTCTTAGGAGAAGCCCACTGAGCCACTGACCTCAGAGAGGATAACCTTGACAATGAGGAAGGCACTGGAGACCAGTGTAGTGACCTGACAGGAGAGAAGGAAAGAGGTCAAGAGGGAAGGCAGAGGCTGGGGGTGAGTCCTCCCCCATCCCAGCCCCTGCCCCCAGGTGGTGGCAAAGTGGCATCTTACCGCAATCACCCACCAGTGGCGGAGTCGCAGCACAGCATAGCCCAGGAGTAGTCCAGAGAAGCGGAAGAAGGCCAGGACCTAACCGAGGAGGGCACCAGACCGTCAGAGGCAAGCTGCGTCCCCACCCAGCTGCAGGGTGAACTGCCCCCAGCCTGCTCAGCATTTCTTTGAGACAATCTGGATGGGATTTTGGACGGGATCCTGTCTCCCTCATCCCACTGGGGCTCTCTGAAGGTGGGGCCCCACTGAGGATCTTCTGGAAGACGGAGGATGGGGGCCAAGTCCCCTGATAAGACTGGGTGTGTGGTAGAAAGAAGGGAACCAGCCCAAGGCACCTCACTGCTCCCTCTGCCCCCGGGGCCCTGGGGTCTCCCAAAGCCACTCACAAAGATGTCAAAGAAGGACGTCTTAAAGTTGTAGTGGATGATCTCCTGCTCCAGGTTCTTGCGGATGCCTGTGTTGGTCTGGGGGAGGAAGACAGGAAGAGCTCTGCGGGCAGAGCCGAGTCCCGGGGGCTGCCCCCACCTCCCAGAAGGGGGAGGTAGGAGGGGCTGGGGGACCGGGCGAAGAGGCCAAAAAGGCTAAGCCACCACCCAAAGGGGTTCCCAAAGCACCAAGGGAGCTCAGCCAGAGGTACCAATACTGTTCCTCCAGGAGCCAGGCAGCCCAAGCCGGGCAGGGCTGGATTCCAGTGCGCTGGCCTAGGGCGGCAGGTCTGGTGGCCTTGGAGCAGTGCAGGGAGGTGCTGGGAATCTGCTCTCATGTAATTCCATTTTCCTCCCAGCACTGTGGTGCTCCACCTTCCCAGCCAATAATCCATCTGAGGTGATGGGGACTGAGGTGGGTGGTGGGGGCCGGGGTGGGTGGTGGTGTCAGACAGAGCCCCAGGTAGCAAATCAATTGATTAGGTTTGGGCTTAATGGACAAAATCTATCAACCTGCCAGAGAAGATGGTGTGGGGAGTCAGGAGACTTGTTCTCACTCCTGTCTCTACCCCAAAGACCGAGGATGGGAGCCAAGTCCCCTGATAAGATTGGGTGTGTGGTAGAAAGAAGGGAACCAGCTGAAGGCACCTCACTGCCTCATTTTCACCAGGATCCCTGAGACTTCAATGTCAGGGGTGTGGAAGGTGAGGGGCTGTATGGACACTGGGAACCAGACTGAGGTATGAGTCCTCTGAAGGATGGGGGTGCCAGCACCCCTGGAGAGGAGGGGGTGTGAGGTGACCCCAGGGAATGGAGCCCAGGGACCCCACTGAGGAAGACCCTTCACACCCACCTAGACTGGGGCTTCTGGCCTCTGGCAGGTCATCTGGATTTAGTGCTGGATTTAGGGGGTTTATTAAAGACACTGACAATCAGGCCTCAGTGCGAATCTGAGGCTGAATACCAGGAATCTTTATAAAGCTTCCAGAAAATCCTGGGGCTAGGAAGAGGGACAGCAGTCTGAATGCTGATGGACATACACTGACACTTGAATGCCCCTCCAATCCCCACCATGTGGTTCTACCCCAAGACCACCTGGGCTTCATGAAATCTGACATCACCTCTACTTTGGCCTGCCCGAAGAGTCCCAGTCTGGCACTCAACCCTGCCCTCTTCTTCCTGCCCCTGGGCTCCACAGCCCCTCCTACCCTTTGCAGTCTCTGTGGCTCTGAATGCCGGACCAGGTCCCTCAGTCACACACAGCATGGGGACCCACTAGCACCACCCAGATCAGGACTCAATAATCATGTTTCACTCCCTGATTTGCCAGTCTCTCTGCTGGTCACACAACCCAACAGGGGTCCTTGCCTGGACAACACAGTCTGCTAGAGAACTGAAAATACATAGAATCCAAAATACCAAGATAGAACTACGAAACTGAAAATTAATAAAATGTTCATTAAGTGTCATCCAGGGGAAACATTACAGGGATTCTACGAAGAGTTAAATCCAGTATTCTGGCATTTTCATTACATTTGAAAACAATTTGTGGTTAGATTCTCTTTGCAGGAATCTCAAGTACACATGAGGACTGCTGAGTCTTCTCACCTGACAGCCAAATAATCTCAAAAGAAAAATTATCAAAAAATTTTCAGCCCTTCTCCAGTTATAAAATCTGGATTGAACATAGGCTGTGTGTGAATTTTCTTCTTTGCTTTGTATTAGTTGGAACCTTTGAAAGGAAGGATTCTGAGCACTCAGAAGCTCTGCAAAAAGCCCTGAACCTTGCTGGGTCTCAGTTTTTTCATTGTTAAGATGCCCCAGGGCCCTCCATGGCAGCTGCTCCAGCTCACTGACAGTGCCATCTCATCTCCGGTGCACAAAGGACAGACACCTGCCCTGAGCCCTGCCTTTCTTTTCAGACCAACATGCCCCAAATAAAACTTGTTGTCTCTATACCTATGCCAGCCCCTTCCCCAAACTCCACTTCTATAAAGAAAGGCACTGTCAACCAGTGTGGTGGCATGCGCCTACCGTCCCAGCTACTCAGGAGGCTGAGGCAGGAGGACCACTTGAGCCCACAAGCTCAAGGCCAGCCCGGACAACACAGTGAGACCAAGGAAGGAAGGGAGGGAGGGAGGGAGGCAGAAAGGGAGGAAAGAAGAAAAGGGGAAAGAAGAGGAGAGAAAAAAAGAAAAGTAAGAAAAAGAGAGAGGCTTTGCTTTCCTATCACTCAAGTTAAGACCAGGCTACTGTCACTCAGAACCTTGATGGGGAGCCCACGCTGCAGAGGAAAGCAGAGGGAGGCCCCAAGGGGCTGAGGTCACGGTGAACAGAGGAGCTGGGGTGAGACCAGGCTTGGGACACCCTGCTCTGAGTGCTGAGGTCAGATGAGGCCCCGCCACCAGCTAGACTGTGTTCCTGCGGTGGCGAGCACTGTGTGGGATAGGGTGAGACAGTTCTGTCTCCAAGCACGAGGTGGCATCTCACCAAAACCAGAGCCATGAGGAACTCAGAGTTTTACTGTTTTCCTTCCCACTGTCCCTCTGCTTTTAGCACAATGCCTGGGCAGAGCAGGAACTCAAAAAATGTTCTCTGAATGAATGAATGAATTAGAGCCAGACAATAAAGTAGGGCAGAAAGAAGACAAGATAGTTTCATGGGCTCAGCCAGCTCTGATTGTCCTCCACTTCCACTAGGGGGCAGCATGGTGCAGAGCCAAGCGCCCAGCTCAGCACCCAGGGGGTCTGTTCAACCCCCTCCTTCTCATACTTGTTGAGCAGCAGCAGCCAAAAGACTCAGCTGGTCATAGCCCCGTTTTCTTCATGCAGATGACAGCAACTGTTCTTGTCTCCTGTTCTTCACTAGTCCCAGATAATCAACCCCATGGAAGAGACAATCCCCCCACGCAGTAGATGCTGAACTGCGCAGGGGTGACTCCCAAACATAGCTTGTCCCTCCAGCGTTGCCCCTACTCACGTTCAGCTCGATAATCCACAGCAGGGAGATAAAGAGCAGGTCGAAGGTGACAAAGAGGCAGAAGGTGCGGCGGACATCAGAGATGGCCCTGCGCTTCTCTGGAGGTGGTGGGAGGAAGTGTGATGAGAGGCTTTGGCTATGGGACAATGATGAGCCCAGGGAAGCCACGGCTGGCAGGCTGCGCTCCAAGTCACGAGTCAGTTCCCGGGGTCCTGTGCTCATCCTGGTGGCCCCACGTTGGGGTGGGGAAGGCAGGGCCTCAGCAGCAGGGCTAGGAAAGAGGGAAGTGGCTGTCAGGGTCTTGAAGGCCACGTATATCCCCTGGGCCCTCATTTGTTCCAAAAACATCTGGCGCCCCACCCTATCCCAACCCCACAATCCAGGACAGTCTCTGCCCAAATTCCCTCCATGGGTCTGGCTTCCCAGGCTGGGAGGGCAGTGAGCATCCCTCCTACTCTCTGCCCTTCTTTGCCCTCCCTGCCAAGAGCCCAGCAGCCCCATGGTTCACCCTGGAGGGCCCTGGGGCTCCTCAGCTGGGCACCTACCCACTCCCAGATGCCCAGGGACACAGCCTGTTCCTGCCAAGCCCAGCCTGGTGGTCAGCCTCTGGTCCTGTCAACAGCCTCTTGGCCTGCACCACCCCCAGGAGAAGAGGCCCCAGCCTCTGTTCTTTGTTTTCCCAGCACAAAGCCACTTTCCCTCCCAGCAGCCAGCCCTCCCCTCCACCACTAATCCATGGCAACTGGGAGGAACTCCGCAGAGTGTGTGTGTGTGTGTGTGTGTGTGTGTGTGTGCACGCGCTCTGCGGACATCTTGGACCTTCTCTCCAACTCCACCCCCTCACTGCCACCCCAGGCCCAACTTTCATCACCTCCGGCCGGTGGCTGCTCATGGATCTCCAGGCCGCCTCTCGCACCCCTTAACTACCCCTTCCCCACACTGTGGCCAAAGGAAGCTTTACAAAGCACCACCCCAGGGCTCCTGCCACTCATGGGACAGCAGGCCCTCTCCTCATCAGTCCCTCTGGGGGTGGCCTCTGCCCAGCTCTTACCAGGGAGCCCCATCTCACTACCACTACCACAACATGGCCTTCTTTCAAATCCCTCAATGTGGCAGCCCTGATTTGCCTCCGGCCCCAGGATCTGACTCTCTCCATTGTCTGGAATATTCTTCCACAGCTCTTCCAAAGGCAGTTCAAAGGCCCTTGGCTCAGCGTCCGTCCCCACTCAGAGCACAGTATGTCACACTGCTTTAACCTCCTCAGCCAACTCCTCATTGTCTGGAATCTCTACTGTTCTAGTTTATGGTTCACCCTTTCTCTTAGTAGAACTTCTGTAAACCTCAAGGGTGGGTGACATGGTCACTGCGGTCTCCCTGGTACTCAACACAATGCATGTAGTAGTTCACAACTACTGCTGAATAAACAAACACTCCAGAGGGGCTCCTGGCCCTCAGCTCCTTGTATGCAGCAGAAAGGAACAGAGAAAAGCCTAAAGAGAGCGAGAGCCTGCCATTTCCAAGGTAAGCCCAGTGTTCTGCTGCCCAAAGCCTGAACTTCTACCATGGTGTCTATGCCCACGCAGAGAAGGATGTTTCCTTCTATTTTACAGATAAGACCACCAAAGCCCACAGGGATTACTTAACATGCTGTGCAAACATAGGGCTCTCATAAATCCTAAGAGAAAAGGAGCTCCAGAGCACTCCCTCCCTGCTGTGTGGCCCCCAGGCCTAGCGTCCCTGATCTACCAATTTGCTGGTAGTCCATGCCTGTATCGCAGCAACTCTGGAGGCTAAGACAGGAGGATCACAAATTTGAGACCAGCCTCAGCAATTTGGCAAGAACCTCAGCAACTTAGCAAGACCCTGCCTCAAGATTAAAAATATAAAAATAAAAAGGACTAGAGAGGGCCAGACATGGTAATGCATGCCAGTAATTCTAGCAGCTCAGGAGGCTGAGGCAGGAGGATCCCGAGTTCAAAGCCAGCCTCAGCAATGGTGAAGCACAAAGCAACTCAGTGAAATCCTGTCTCTAAATTAAAAAAAAAAAAAATAGGACTGGGATGTGGCTCAGTGGATGAGTGCCCCTGAGTTTAATCCCCAGTACCAAAAAATAAAAAGAACTAGAGAGGTAGTTCGGTGGTAAAACGCCCCTGGACTCAACTGCCAATACCAAAAGAAGAAAAAAAGAAAAGAAAAAACCATTTTTCTTTCTCATAGTTCTGAAAGCTAAAGTTCAAAACCAAGGCAGAGCCATACTCCCCTCTGATTTTTTGCCTCTTCCCGGGTCCGGCTGTCACCAGCCACTTCAGGCATTTCCTGTCCAGCAGCTGTGTAACTCTAGGCTGTTGTCACATGATGCTTCCACTGCAGCGTCTTCACATGGCTGTCTTCTTATAGGGACACTAGTCCTATTGGATTAGGGGCCCACCCCACTCCAACATGAGCTCAGCTTAACTCATAAATCTGCAATGAACCCATTTCCAGACAATGGTCACATTCTGAGGTTCAGGGGACAGCACTTTGATGTATCCTTTTTTG